GTGCAGAGCTCTGCTGCTTCATCCATTATATCAGTGACTAACTCACAGCCGGAACACAGTGCTGGACGTAACTGACCAGCTGACAGGAGACAGAGGAGGAGCTGGACGGAGACGTTTCAGTACAGGAAGGTTTGTGTGAGCTTAAAACTAATGAGCCAACCAACATCTCCAAACCACAGAGAGAAGAGAGGAGGTCAGCTGAACACATGTGCCTCCAGAAAATTATTCTCATGTGACTTCCCAAATCAAAAGCTCTGTTCGCCACAAAATTGCACATCAGGAACATGTGGAGGACAGATCTGAACCGACCGGCACATCCACATGTGAGGAAAACCAACATTAGAGATTCAGACTCATTGATCTCATTTGTTCTCACAGCGTTTCGCTGACAATCGACATGAGAGCCGGACAGAACATCAATATCTGACTAAAGATGATTTCTGTCTCCACAGTGAGACAGTTCACCGACGATTGTTTGTCCAATTTGTGCTGTCTCTGCGTCCGTGAAGCAGCTGTCAACATGTTAATGTTTTAAACTCTGACAGTGAGACCTGCTCAGAGGACACCTTGCTGATATCTGACTCAGGGTGTCAGGGTCCGCTTTATTCTATTTTAGACTCCTCTGACAACTAATGCGTACCGTTATGTAACATCGAGAGCGACAAAAACACCTCCTCTCTTCCTCTATTGAGACAAAGCAAATAACTCTGGAAAGCCACTTAGAAGAGATTTACTTTGCCTCTTAAATAAAATCAATCCGGCTGAGTCTTAAAGCTGCAGTTCTTTAAATGGCCACTGAACCAATAAAAACACATCAGTGAGTCACACTAACTGGGTTTCCATCCAAATGTGTCGCAAATTTTAAGCGAATTTTGTGAAAATGCACAAAAGACAATGCGAATTTATGCATGTTTCCATTCATTATTGTTTTGCGAGTATTGGGAGTCAACAGGTCGAGCAGTAGGTGGCGCTTCTCGTGAAAAAGAAAAATAAAAATGCAAAAGAACACCCGTAGAAGAAGAGGGCGCTGTGAGATGACGTCATTGAGAGCGTCTCATGTCCGGTACATCCATGACCACGACAAGATGGAGAGATTCCTTGGGAACTTCTCGGCTATTGCGAGAGCTCTCATCACACTCATATCAGTGTTGTCAGCGTAGCCTACATAATGCCGTGATGTCTGTGTTGGTACACCAGGCAGCGCACATGATGCAGCGGTATTCAACACGTCCAGTCTATACAGTCAAATACTCACTAGAGCACCAAATGTGAATTAATCCACCACTGAAAATAGTCCTCAACAAAGTCACTGTTTCCTCCTGTTGGTTTGATAAAAACTACAGTGAGCACCTGTTTGAGGAAACTGCTGATAAAACTATATTTGTTTTAAACGATTTGAATCTTCAGTAGGAACAGATGGGCTTGGAGCTGAGAGCCAAAGAGTGGAGGTCAGAAAGTACTGAGAGACAGAGAGTCTAAATATGAAATCTTTTATCTATAACAAAAATATGGGACACAATCGGCGGTTGTTGCACGAGTCCAGAAGTCACTACCCAAGTGCTTGTATTCGATAACTTCGGAGTGAGACTGGGTTGTTCGGTTGCTGGCGGTACGGTGATGCAGTGGTTAGCATTGTGGCCTCACAGCAAGAGGGTTCTAAACCCAGGGTGGGGGAGCCCTTCTGTGCAGAGTTTGCATGTTCTCCCCGTGTCATCAAAAACATCATCAGTCATTACTGCAAGTCGGCGAATACTGGCGCTTACGCCAAACCCTGTTCTTTTTTTCTAAACCCAACCATGTGCGTTTGTTGTTGAAGGAAAATAAACGTCAATTTGTGGTGTTGTACCAATGTAGTGCTTTTATTTTGAAAGAGACTGTATGCAAACATTACATTTCTTGTAAAAACTGAAGTGTATTTTGAAAGCAGACAATGTATGTAACAGGCTGAGGTTGACACAGCGTCCCAGGACATCAACAACAAATGCACCCAGCGTACCTTGGACGTTATATCTCAACATGGAAAGTCCATGACCAAATGTTGATATGTGACGAGGTCACAGTGAGAATCTGTTGAACATGCAGATAGCAGCAGGAGGAGGAGAATGCCGGCCATAATAGCCAGCTAATGGCAGGTTTATAGCCCCAGTCTACATCCAGTGAGTCAGACTAGAAATGCTGTAACCATCCTCTCTGTTCACAATGTTTACAGTAGTCATATTAACAGTGAATAATGGTGTGCTATAAATGCTGGATGCTTCTCCGGGGGTGTATTTTCCCTTCAGACCCTGAACACAGCAGCTTCCAACAAAGCGCCACAAGCCATCTTGTTGCGACTGTAAAAGCCTTCCTTTCTTCTGTTTTCTGAGCAACAACCGTTTTGAAAGCAGCGCAGTCAATTACGTGGTATCAGGACTCAGTACAGTGCAACAGGGTTATTGCCATGCACGGAGCGGCAAGTGTGTGAATTAGACTTTTCTGTGCTGAAATAAATCAAGGTATTTGGTTTGTTTAGTGACTTGGAACATTTTCATTTGCCTCTGCAGAACATTTGCATTATGCTCCGGTGTGTCTGGCGTCTGCAGGAGAGCAGAGATCAGGATCACAGCGCGCTCATCTGTGAGGAAAATGCTCCGTTTCTTAATGCAAACAATGTGAGTGGCACAAGAAAAGGCAATTCAGAGGTTCATTAATAAAACATGAGTGAGGCGGGTTACTCCAGACACTCAGAGTGACAGCTAACACTCATTTACATGACTGCTGTTTTTTCCTTTTAAATATTTAATAAAAGCTAAAGAGGACGAACAGCATAACACTATAATGAATTTATGAATATTAGATATTAATGCAGAAGGATGCAAATAGCATCCACCATAATCTCTGTCAGAATATTAACGTGATACATCTATAAAAGCTCACAGTATACTGAGTGACTGTGGACCAGACCAGTCGCCACAAGAAAATGTTGTACATTTCTGCAAAGCACGAATACATTACATTTGTATGTATGTGTATTTCAGAGTTTGAATGGTTCAAAAGATACTCAGCTGTTGTTGTTGTTTTAAAGGAAATTAAAATATTTTTGACACTTATTGTTCTTATTACTATTACATTTACTTTTGTATTTCCTCTGCAGTCCAACGATCAGAGGCCGGTACCTGAACACTGCCTGAACATTTTTCTTGTTGAGGTCTGTTGATGGTTTGTTTTAATCACAACATGAAATGATATTGTCCTTGAGGGGAAATGACTGGAAATGACAGTGCAACAGATGACTGTACAACACATCCTTTCTTTTGAGGCTAAAACCAATTTCCAGTTTTGTCTTTGAAATGTCAAAACTGGTGTAAATCAAATCTTCCTAGAGGTCTTTTCTTTGTTCATGTTGCACAGTGCTCATGTGGATTTTCACTGTGCTGTGAACTTGTATCTGGATCCTTAATGTGCAGCATGTTAGGTCTGGTTGTAATTAAGGGTGGAATAATATTGTATTGTGAATAAAGTATGGGGATAATATGATTGTGATTTCAAAGCTGCGATGAAACATATATTCCAATTTCTTGCCTTTTTTTTAAACTGCAAACGTCCCCAAAAGAAAAGTGTGTCAACATCTGTTTCATCTAATGAGACAAAGTTTTCAGTCTGTTCTCACTTTAATCACTTTTATTGCAGCAAAATGTATCTGTTGGCTCAATTAATTATATTGTTCTAGTAGGAGAGTAATTTGTATTTGTAATGTTAATAATAATATGACCAAAAATAAATACTTTGCATCTGTGTTACCAGATTACATTTCTACACAAAACTATTGCAGTACTATGCTACATAGGTGTGGGCGAATAAAATCAATACAGCATATTGTCACACAGTGCCAAGTAGTTTTTCTATGACATAAACTAATATTACAAATACAAATTAAACTTTAGGTAGCCTATTAGAATAAAACAATCAATTGCTTTTTTAGTCCTCTACATAGATTTCACTACAAATGTCTGAACTCAGATGCAAAGACTGAAAACTTTATTTTACTGGATAAAACAAAGTTGACAACGTTTTCCTTTGGGGACATGATTTACAGTTGAAAAAAGCTAATATATCACAATATATCTTATCGCTATACTCAGCATACCACAGGATATTTAAACCTGCGATAACATCGTATGGTGGGTCCTCAGTCCTCCAGTTGTAATGTGTTGTGTGGTTTAAAGTCTTTCTTGACCAGCAGCCACAAAACATTCTTAATTTCAAATATCGCAAATGCAAAAATACAAAAGTTAACCAAATTTTCTCACGATCAGAAGCTGGAACCAAAACACAGTTTGGTGTTTTTACAAGACCAACAACTTAAAAATGATTCAGGTGTTACTACAAATTCAGTTCAATCCACACAAAGTCACTTCAGAAGAACATCCGGTCCTTAGAAGCCTCTTCATGAACACAGCATGGACACAGTGATATGCAAAGCTGCAGTGTCACAATACTAATAATCCCTATAATAAGTGAAATGTAATAATACTACAGGAGACTGAAATGCCTCCTTCGGTTTAGCCAGAAAATTGATTTCTCACCATCATGCAGGGATATTGATGTGAGTCTTGACATATCTCAGTCGGCTGGAAACTAATGATGGAGCACAAACTGTCCAATAAGGACACGAGACATTTGATAGCATATTAAGCCACTATAATTAGACTCCTCATGAGATGCAAAGGTCACCATAAACTCTGAGCAGCGCACAGCCACTGAGAGCCACCTCAGGAACATTACAACATGTCATCCAGGAGATAAAGAGAATACCTGACAGTGCGTGCAGGAACACAACAGCCACAACACCGACTTGTCATGCAGCAGTGCGGAGCCTGCGTGCTGATGTGTCAACATTATGATGATTTCTCTCCACTATCATAGTGATTATCTGAAAGGGTGCATGGTGCGCACACCCACAGCAGACGCAGCAGCACAGCAGAGCACGCACAGCCCCGCAGCAGCAGCAGTTTTCTTACCTGTGCAGTCTTTCCCTTTGCCTTTGCACTCTCCACTCTGTGGGTAATAAGACGCCCGAGCCTCCGGCAGGTAGAGCAGCAGAGACAGCAGGCAGGCGGATACCAGGTACCGGACAACCCCGCCGGGACGCCCGGGACACCTCCCAGGGCCTGACACCATGATGATGATGTTGATGATGATCCAACCTCCAGACACCGGCACACAATTCACTCGGTTCTTGATTCAGGTGGAGAGGCGTGCAAACAATTTGGCGTAATCCCTGATGGAGCAGGCGGAGACTCGAGAGAAAACACCCCGGCTGCCTCACGCTGTGTCCCGCTGAAAGGAGAGCACCAGAGGGCGGGAGAGAACAGAGCAGACAAGTCTGTGCTGAAGATGGAGGAATGTGCAGAGAGCTCCTCGCTTGATTCCGCGTTCAGGAAGCCTCGGAGGCGGTCCGGTTTGTCCAGGGAGGAAGCAGAGGAGGCAGCGGCAGCATCCCCGCCATCCGTCCTTCCTCCGCACCGAAGCTCCGCGTGTTTGTAGCTGGATTTCTCTCACACCGCTTGTATCTGTCGGGTGTCGCACACGGAGCGATCCTCCACGCTCACAGTGATTATCGCGGCGCTCCGGCTGCGTTTGTCCGCGCGGTAATGAAGCGGCTCGGGGATCCGGCGGAGCGGAGACGCGGTGCGTAAAGAGAGCAGCAGCTGCAACCACAACAAAGAGATCCGGACTGAGGAGAGGACAGACAGGCTGGTCACGTGAGAGGATGCAACACTCCCCTCCACCTCCACGCCCCTAACTCACGCGCGCACGCACGCGCGCACACCTTCGACATAAACCATAGAATGCAGAGAAGCCACAAATAAAGATGTTCATAAATGCGAAGAGAAGAATCACTGCAGTGACGTTGTGTCAGCAGGATCATTCACAGATCACATTTTCTGCACATCTGAACATCTGTCTTCATCTTCATCATCATCATCTTCATCATCACAGTGGACTTCATCTCATTAAATGTTTTTAAAACACCACATATTAGATTAAATTTACAGTTACAAATTAAACTCGTCCACATCCTGAAGTGTGTCATCAGCACCTCAGGTGAAATGTGTGTGACAACACTGATTCTGCTTTGTGCTACTCTCCCAGTGAACTGACTGGTGGAGACACACAGGATCTATGATGCATGTGAAGTTGACGGATCCTATTCATTTTCTATGAGATCTGGCCGTGCATTGCATGATGGGTACAGCGCTGCCAGCTGACTCACTCCTTGTGGACAGAAGTCTATTCTTCTTAACCCAAACCTTACCAAGAGATCCCCTCCTGGCTGAAAACCCTCAAGGACAATTTCTCCCAACTGCACCGACTCTCCACATCTGAAGTTGCACAATCACGACTCGACCTCAACCTAAAATCTCAATGTCACATAAAGACAATCACTGGCTCAGCTTACTGTCACCTCACCTCAGGGGTCAGCGACCTTTACTATCTTGCCAGCACTGATCTCAGATAGATGTTAGAGGTTACCTTAGCGGGCACATGTGCTGCTAACTTTGTCACGTGTAATGTGTTTATTGCATATTTCTTACTGTAAATTGTCTTGTGCAGCCTGTGCCTGCCATGGTTATTGTGTGACTGTTAACTTTGTCACTGAAAAGTAAAGTAATTGTACTTCATGTTGTATTTTGACCATGCAGTGTGTGTTTACTGTTTTTACTATGTAAGGCACCTGCACTAAAGCATGGTCAAGGTAGCTACTGGTTTTTATATTGTATTTTGTACTATGCAGTGTGTACATACTGCTCCTGTTATGTTAGAGACATGGATTGACTGTAGTCCGCATTGCTCCTAGAATTTTATTGCATCTACTCGTTATGTGTAGGACCACAGATGGAAATTAGCTTTTCACTAAATCTGGTGCAACCATGTTTCATTTCTTCTAAGTGTTTANCATGCAGTGTGTGTTTACTGTTTTTACTATGTAAGGCACCTGCACTAAAGCATGGTCAAGGTAGCTACTGGTTTTTATATTGTATTTTGTACTATGCAGTGTGTACATACTGCTCCTGTTATGTTAGAGACATGGATTGACTGTAGTCCGCATTGCTCCTAGAATTTTATTGCATCTACTCGTTATGTGTAGGACCACAGATGGAAATTAGCTTTTCACTAAATCTGGTGCAACCATGTTTCATTTCTTCTAAGTGTTTAAAGGATAACTTCGGTATTTTTCAACCTGGGCCCCATCTCCCCATGTGTATATGTGCATATGATTCATAGGTACAACTCGTTTTAAAATTGGTTCAGTATTGAGGGAGGCGGATGCACTTTTAATGCACAAACTTATACGGGACGCATTTGCCCCCGTTACCGTTTTAGCTCGTTTCGCGGCTGCCGGCTGCATCCGCCTCCCTCAATACTGAACCAATTTTAAAACGAGTTGTACCCATGAATCATACGCACACACACACATGGGGAAATAGGGCCCAGGTTGAAAAATACCTAAGTTATCCTTTAATGTCACTGCACACTGTCCTCTTATACACCAACTAAACTTAACTAAACCATCAAAAGAGCCATTTTTGACCCAAAATAATAAAAGCAAAATCTGCCTGGAGCTACTAAACATATTTTAGCCTTATAATGAAGGTAACACAGACTATTAAGTAAGAATTATCTGATCAACATTACTAGTAGGTCTAAATGAGCATTCATTAATATGTTTTATCACAAGGTTGCTGTTCTGCAGTGGGCAATTTGTGATAATTTGGAACTTTAACCCTGCAGAGCTGGCGGTAAAAGCAAATGAAGCTGTCCTCACACACTATTAGATTCTCTGTTCTCCTTCGAAACTTTACATTTTTGGATTTGGAATCCATGGATAGCCTGCATAGGGTGCCACTGTGTCTGAGGCTTGGCAAAATTTGGGGAAAAAGGCGTCAGGCCATAGACGTTTGAAGCACATTTTAGATGATGAAATGTTTTTTCTATTTGGTGCACAGGTGCATCATTTCTTCCGTCCGACAACGTTGATAAACACAAATTAAAATGCCATTATTCATTTCCATATATTTTTTTTTTTTGTCAAAGCCACAGGAAGCCACTGAAGAGGAGCTCCAGAGCCACAAGTTGCCAACCCCTGCCTTAACCCATCAATATCCCCTGTCCATTCCAATGGACATAACTTTTCAAGGATGTCTGCATCTATCATTACTGGGTCTGCTCCATTTCAGTGCACCAGCGCACCGTTTAACACGTAACGGCGAGGAATGGAGAGCTGTTTCAATGGAGTGTGACGTGTCAGCCAGCAGCAGCAACCACGTAACCATCAACCGACAAAGCGAACAACAATGTCGGCCTACAGGGCAAAAGCCACAGCAGCTGTCTTGGTTGACAAATAATTGCTCACAGAGACACTGATGTTCACAATCTGGTTTTATGTAGGTCTGAATGACATCATCAGTTCTCTGTCTTGCATGGGCCATGTGGTCGTGGTGACGCCGCACTCGCCGCTCAAATTTATCGGTGGGTCCAGCACATCTGTCAGCTATGATACCCATCGAATGGTGTGCAGACTCCACCAGTGCACTGCTAGCATACACTGGCGTGGTGACAGTGTGGACCCACTGTAATCTGACTCCACCCAAGTGCACACACTTATTTGAGGGGATGTCTATAAACCAATCACAGTGTTCCGCATCATCTACAGTGATCTGCAGTAGAGCCACGCCCCCTTTTTTAACAAGCATGGCCGACTGTGAGGCAAGGAGGAAGCACAGGGTACGTTTTAGTCTGTTAATCAACTTATTCTTGTAGAATGGTTCGTATGATATCCAACAAATTTGTCCCCAACGAACGATGTTATGTCCTCAGTGTAGAGTTAGGTAATTAACATAACGTTACAGAGGTTATGTTTAGGAAAAGAAACATAGTGCACTGGCACCTTAAAATTAGTTCACACAGATCCAATCACGCGACTCCAAGGGAGTTTTGCAACCGTTCCACCACCCCAACCTCCCTCTTTACAAGCGCTCATTATTAGGTGGTTTTTCTGCAGTAAGATTCTTCGTCTATTGGAATGGGCAGAAAAAACCTCACATACGTAATAAAGTATTGGTCGGGATGAGAGTCAGCACCTCCAAGTCTGAGGTCATGGTTCTCTGTCGGAATATGGTGGATTGCCCTCTCTAGGTTGGGAGTGAGTGACAACCCCAAGCACAGGAGTTCAAGTATCTCGAAGTCTTGTTCATGAGTGAGGGTAGAATGGAGCATGAGATGGATCGGCGGTTTGGCACGGCGTCCGCAGTGATGCGGGCGCTGTGCCAGACTGTCGTGGTGAAAAAGGAGCTGAGCCAGAAGGCGAAGGTTTTGATTTACTGCTCCATCTGCGTCCCAACCCTCACCTATGATGATGAGCTCTGGGTAATGACCGAAAGAATGAGGTCATGGACACAAGCGGCCGAAATGAGTTTCCTCCAAAGGGTGTCTGGGCTCAGGCTTGGAGATAGGGGGAGGAGCTCGGACATCTGGAGGGAGCTCGGAGTAGAGCCGCTGCTCCTTCTCGTGAAAAGGGGTCAGTTGAGGTGGTTCGGGCGTCTGATCAGGATCCTCCTGGGCGCCTCCTGTTAGAGGTGTTCTGGGCATGTCCCACTGGTAGGAGGCCCCGGGGCAGACCCAGAACACACTGGAGGGATTATATATCTCGCCTGTCCTGGGAACACCTCAGGATCCTCCAGGAGGAGCTGGAAAGTGTTGCTGGCGAGAGGGACATCTGGAATACTTTGCTCAGCCTTCTGCCCCCACGACCTGGCCTCAGATAAGCAGTTGAAAATTGATGGATGTATAATAAAGTATCTTAATCAAAATAAGTATATATGCATAATGATTTATGAGTGCATTTAGAGTAAAAATCTTCTACTACAATATTTCTTTTGTGTTTGGAACATAACTGGGTTCTGAATGAGTTGAGAACATATCAAGGATAAAGGTGTGATGTCTCAGCAGGATCTGGATAAACCTGTCCATACATTTATCTTCAGTCAACTCAACTACTGTAACAGTGTCTTTACAGGTCTCCCTAAAGAGTGGATCAGACAGCTGCAGCTGATTCAGAACGCTGCTGCTCGAGGCCTCACTAACACAAAGTTCAGAGGTCTTTGTGCTGACTTCCTGTCTGTCAGAGAATCGATTTCAAAATACTACTGCTGGTTTATAAAGCACTGAATGGTCTAGGGCGCAAATACATATCTGATCCTCTGCCACACTATGAACCATCCAGGCCTCCATCCAGACAGGTCTGCTTTGTGTCCTCAGAGTCAGGGTTTAACATGAAGAAGCAGTGTTTAGTATTTATGCTCCACATATCTGGAACAAACTCCCAGAAAACTTACTATCAGTTCTGATGAATGAAGACTGAAGACTTTTCTGTCAGTCAGCTGCCTTTTATTAAATCAAATATTCATTTTTTACACTGGGCCAGTTGGATGTACTGCCAGATTCACAGAAACAACATTGGAGACAGCTTATGGTAGGGAAATGAATATTAAATTCACGGGCAACAGCTCTGGTGGACATTCCTGCAGTCAGCACGCCAATGACACACTCCCTCAAAACTTGTGACATCTGTGGCATTGTGTTGTGTGATCGGCACACTGAAGCGCATTTTCTTCTACAACATAAAATGCATCAGCAAATACCCAGCTGTGAATTCAGAAGCTTTTATGTCTTACAAAAACAAGTGGTTAAATGAGACAGAACGTCATCACGCTGAACACGACCTCACAGCCCTGTGTGGCGGCAACATTAAGTCATGTGACCGTAGTGTTTGTTTACAGCCTAACGTTAGCTTTTAATCTCTGGCGATTGCATTTAGGCTTCAAAAATCATAAAAGTGGTGTTCTTTTGTGAAGATTATCTCGTTGCAATCATCCAAAATCCAATGGAAAAATCCCATTGGCCTTTTGACGAGGGAGCCATGGCAGCGCTAACTTCAGCATTGGCCTACAAAAAAGTAATCCCCGCTGCACTCTGTTGTAAATGAATAAACTGCAGAGGCAGTGTCAGTCTGCAGTACCTGAGTCCAGGTGCTCTGGGACTGGCTGGCAGGTGTTCCACTTCCACCTGGATCAGCTCTGTGTCATCAGGTCTCATCCGGCGCCAAGGGCTCCTCGCGCTGCCCTCTTTCCTCAGAGGACTCCTCCTCTGGTCCTTGTTACTGCTGCTGCCACTGCTTCCACCGTTACCACCTCTGCTGCTGCCTCGCTGCTCTCCCCTGGCTCACTGAGGTCCACCAGGTCCGGAGCTGTTTAATCAGCCACACCTGTCAGGTGGATGGATTATCTTGGAAAAGGAGAAGTGCTCACTAACACAGATTTGAACTCATTTGTGACCAAACTTTGAGAGAAATATATCTATTGAGTGCATAAAAAAGTCTCAGATCTTTAACTTCAACCTGTGAAAAATGGGAGCAAAAAGCGTTGGGGTTAATTAACTGACTAATTAAACTATAGTTTTCTAATTATACTTTTCCTTAAGTATTTTCAGTGCAGGACTTTTAACAATAACAGATATTTTTACAGTGTGGTATTAGGACTCTTACTGGCTGGTTGCACAAAACACCTTAAGGTATGATTCTCCTTTGAGTCCATGTTAGGGCTTTCTTAA